GCTGGCTGCTGTAATACCCCGAATTCCCTGCAAACAGGGCAGAGGAGTCTGTGGAGACTGAGTGGGCAGGGCTGGAGTACGAGGTGGAGGAGAGGGATGTTTCCGAGGAACCATGAGAGAGGCTGTGTGCTGTCCTCTGTGCTGCTGCTCGATAGCTGTATCCAGGAGATGGAGTGAGGTGTCCTCTGTATGGGGAGGAACTCTGCTGGAGAAGGGTCTGTGATTCTGCCTGGGGGCTGTCAGACTGCAGGAGCTGAACAAGTCGGAGGGGGAAAAAGAAAAGGCATGTCAGACTGACTTCCCTGTTTCCTACCTCCTTCTCATGCCAAAGGTGCTTAGTGTAGCAGGATTTGGAATAACTGGCAGCCAAACCCAGTTTCCCCCCTAATCCCGTTAAAAGCTTTATTACAGAATGGGCAGATAATACAGGAAAGAATTTACCTGGTAGCTGTATCGTGAAGGGCTGTAAACTGCTGGTCCTTTGTGGGCTTCTGGAGTGTCTCCTTCTGCTGTGTCTGCAATGTACAGGCAAGATGTTAAACTTCATGCTCTGGACTGAGGCCGCAGCAGTTCCCTCTCAAACGACACCTGCACACACCCCAGCTGGCTTGTTCTGCATCCAGCTACAGCCAAGACAGGAGCAGCTTCTCCAGCCATCAGCGTTTCAGAAGCTGAAGAACCCTAACAAAAGGCAACTGGAAAACCTTAACATGCACAAACCAGCCATATGCATTGGGAACTGCTACTTCCCTTAGCCCAGCGCTCTCTGGTTTAGCACAAAGCTCGCCTGCCTTGGACCAGCCTATCTGAGCAGCTGCATGTGGTGACACTGCACAGACGCAGCCTGGGCTCCCTCAGCTTTCCAGAAGGATATGAGAGGCAGAAGATAGTTTCTAAGGGCTCAGCAATTCTCCACTCAGCCTTGGTCATAGGAATACACACTGGCTACAGCTGGGGAGATAAAACTGTCCTCCTTAGATGGTTGTCAGGAGGATCCTGCTGCAGGCGTTCCTCAAAGGCAGATCCAGACACCGACAGAGATGAAGTCCCGTGCTGCCAAGGCTGACAGCACCCTTGCTGCCATTTTGGGGATTATACTTGACAAGTCAACTGAGCTACTCCACACGGAGTTACTCTTAGACCTCAGAAATGCCTCCATCAGAAACAGGGCAAGATGATGAAAATGCTTTGAGGCTTGAGGGGTAACAGCAGCACAGTACACACTGATCCACCCCAGTTACGTGAGAGATCGAGAGGAATAAGCTGCTTCTTGACAGAGCACGCCTTTCTAGCACCCGTATGTATCTTAGAGGGTGGGTGAGCTACTTGTCCTACCAAATAACTGAACCTGAACTGGGGTAGGCAAGAAGTACTTACTGCAAGTGACCCAGCCGCTTTGCCGCCTGTTTTTCAGTTGCTACTACTGTAACCATGGGGTTCAGCTGGCGATCAGCCTTTCTCGAGGAGGGAGTGAAACTTGTGGGACTAGGAGATTTCACATCAGAGTTATGTTGCAGTCTAATGAGACAGAGCTGTTTATCTGCAGCATCTCAGGGATTCTCAGCAGCCGTGTTTGAAATGCCTTGGTGAAATAGTGTTGGTATTAGTATCAAATTTATATGACAGATGTGTCTCAGCCATGAAACAGGACACAGTGCCTTAGTCCGCTCTATGCTTCTGGCAGACAGGTCTGGCTTTGCACCAGATGCACTGGCACGAGCATCAGTGTCAGCAGTGCCCATGGCTTTGCCACGGTTGTCCTCTCTCTGCTACATCACAGCTGCGGGCTTAGCTAAACAGGGATCTGGATGGAGTTGTCTTGGCCGCTGTTGAGGTTCAGAAACCTTCTTGCTCAGGGCACAGAACCTGCACAGAGATCACGGCATGAAGCTTCCAGCATGCACCCTGTGCCGTCTTCCATTTTCTGAAACAATACCTGATGCCTCAAGTAGCTGTTTGCTGTGGGTGACATTCTGAGTGCTGCACTGCAGAAAGGCAGAGCCTGAAGTTCAGGGCATGTTTTGTTAAGCAGTCATGCACAGAAGAGACTAACTGTTCAACCCAGGAGATTGTTGTGATTAACAGAAGTTGAGTATGAGAATCAGAAGAAACCTAAGGATTTCTGGAAGAAACTGTTTCTGAAAAGGCCAGGCACACCAGCAGGGCTGCACAAGTTACTGGCAGTGTCTGTTCACAGAAAAAAACCTTGAGAAGTTAAAGACTATTGAAAGACTCTAAATTACAAAGGGTGAATAAACTATAACCTTCCTGAATTTGCTTTATATAAACTTAAGACAGACAAAGCCAACATTTCCCTCTCCCATTTCTTAATACCTACACAAGGAAGGACATAAAGCAGAACTGTTTTTCTTGGAAGTGCTGGTCTGTGTCATCCTAAAGCGTATATGAAGCAACAGCTTTAACTGAGAGCAGCTGCAATTCCCTCAAGTGTGGCATGCACAGAAATTCCATGTCATTCCTACATGCCCCATCAGCAAACCATCCAAGTTTGGAGTTTTTAGTTCCCCTCACATTATTATCTGTTACAACATCAAGTAAGCATGTATGTCTTCACAACTCCTACAGGTGATACAGGAACGGCAGGGACTCAGCCACTCATCTGTTTCACCAAGAAGCAGACAAGCAGCTGGAGGAGGGAAGGTGGCTCACAGAATCTAAACAAGCTACTGAAGAAATTGCCAGAGTATGCAAAAGAAGAAAAAAAATATTTTGCTGCGCTAGGATGAGAGAGACAAAAATACTTTTGTCAGCTACAGCATTAAGTTTTCCCAACGTGGAGCGGGATGGGTTTTATGTGACAAGGAAGAAGAATGAATTGATGTAGCTGAAAGTCAAACTCCAGCCTAACTCCTGAGTGAGACTGAAGAGCCAGAGCTGTACAGATTACAGTGGGCAAGAGGCCTATTGCAAGAGTCTGGATTTTGCCTCCCCTTCTAAAAAGTAACCACCGAGAAAGCCACTTCCACTGGTATGACAGACAGGAAACAGGCTCCCAGTGGGGTCCCATGAAACCAGTGAAATGTGTAATAGGGTAGAGGATTCCCTCTCACAACTACACGAAGAAAAGGCATTGAAGAGAGATGTGTTTAGGTGTACAAAGATAGCAAAACCCCAGATGAGAGGCCAGTTTTCAGAAAGTGCTCCCAAACACACCCTACTGCAACTGGGGAAAAGTCTGATTTGGAGTGAAGTAAATATCTACTTTGTCCTAAAATGCTCAGAAATGAGACAGCACAAAGACAAAAGTTGTCGCTGCTGCTGAATTACTCAGAGAGTGCTCTGTGCTAGCCTGGCTTAGAGGCTCTAGCGCTTCCAGGTCTACAATACCAACAACTAGGTTCCAGCTTCCAGAGAGATTCAGATCCCTGCTACAGATCATCAGCAAGCTGTAACTGTATCAGCCACGAGTCTCTAACAAGTTCTCAGCCCTGAGGAAGCAGGGGCTGATGGCAACACACAGACTGTTATTTAATGGTGATCCATCTCTGTAAGTCCCAAGGGCGATCAGGGTTCTGAGGGCACTATCTGTTAGGGAAAAACAATCACGTTCAACAGAAACTGCAAAATAAATAGAAGAAAAATAACTCCATTTCACAGCTGAGAAATTAGGCAATGATGAAGTGATCTGTCCATCTCACAGAAAGTCACATCTCACCTTTAGACACAGATGGATGAAAGGGGTTTGATTTCAGCTCAAGTTACAAATACTCACTGACCCTGCATGCTACTAGGTCCACTTTATTCAGAGAAGAAAGGAACATCAACACAGACGTGAATTCACCTCAGTAAGGAGGTGCATTTCACACAACTGACAAACATCGTAACTCAGGGAATCAAGTAACTTCAAAAAGAGCTGAAGTAAGGCTTGGAAGCTAAATTAGTTCTTAGCACTGCCTGAAGCCTACACCTGCATTTTAGTGTGACAATACATTTATCTGGATGTTCAGCCAACTACATTTATTCAATGATAGCACTTTCATCCCCAGTACATAGGGGCAATTGAGGCAATGCTGCTTAACCCATCGGTCCAAGGACAAAGAAGCTGTCCCTGCCAGAGCCAAGATGCAGGTAGTCTTGAATCCAAACCCTGGAGGTCTTCCAAGGTCTAACAGAAGAGGGATACAGGCTCAGGCAGTATCTGAATAACAATGAAGTATGGTTTGCAGAAGGCTCTTATAAGGCATTGATAACGTTAAAGATGAAGGTAGAACTAACTTCATAGACAAGTTTGCAAACTTATCGGAGCTCATCATTTCCCACCAAGCAAATATTCAAAAGTTTCATCTTCCTACCTGCATCTCTCTCAACAGCACCGTCACAAGTGGGTGAGGACTCATTTCTCTGGGATACCTTTGCGCCACTTCGCAGCACCTTCTCAAGTATGCCTCGGCCCTCTCGAAGCCTCTCCACTGATGTTGGGACCATCCTGCAACAAAAACCCGGTACCTGCTGAGGATTGCTATTACGCAGCCGAGAGCAACGTGACCAAGGGGGCTGTGGGGTCCTTGGTATAATCACAGGTTTAAGTTTCTGCTTAAATTCACTGGTATGATGTTAGTGCAAATGCAAACCCATAGAAGGGAGGAATCAGAGACCACCAGCTCTCTAGACAGATGAGGAATAAACTTCTGAACTGCTTTTGCAATGTAAATAGCCTCCTGTGGGATTTTAGATTGCCAGTCACCGGCTACCATGATAGCACTGCCCTCAGAAACACAAAATCTTTACTTTTATCAAAAACATGGTATAAACATCCTGTTACGTAGATCACCTGATTACAGGACACCTTCTCCCTGAAAAACTGTTTCAAGATTCAACAGCATTTTGAAAATCCTGGTATGTTTTAAAATTAGATGCAGTTATTTTGCATAGATTACTTTCAAACTAAAAAGAAGCAAAACCAATACCTTTATGATAATAGAGTGTCAAGATAGTACAGTCAGACAATGCAATGTTCCTGGAGCAGAGCTAGGTTGGCCATTTTGCCCATTAATGCTACTTTGTCCCTTTTACTCTGTAATGTGAAAACTCTCCGCTCAAGATTAGTGCTAGATCTTGTTCCATTATATATTTACAAGTGTCTAGTCTGAGGGTGAAAAAACAGAGGTGAAGTGGCTTTCCTAAAGCCAATCTGTAGAAGAAAAACAGAGCCACAGACAAACCCCAGACCCTTGGGTCAATATTCAATCTACCATGCACATGACCATCCAAATCTCTTCAGAAATATGTGTTTTAACCTATAAGATAGTAGCACCTAGATCAGGGATTCAACCATGCCTTTACCCTAGGCACTGAAGAACACGCGCCTTAAAAATGCCTGAATTTAAATACTTAGTATAATATTAAATGCACTGCATATCATGTAAGCATGCAGCTTAACACCATATTAACAGATTTCTGTATTTTTTTCTTTTTTAAAGATATATTAAAAACTGATCTTTACATTAGCTTTTGTTTTTCTTTAAATAAATAGCCCAGACATTGAAGTTCACCCCTCACTGAAGCAGAAGGGAGAAGGGGCCAGAGTTCACACCTCATGGAGGTGAATGGGGTGAGGGGGTGAATTCACACCTTCGTTGCTGCTATTGTTTTGCTGGAGACAGTTTTCTGCAAGGCTGGGTTTACTGGGCAGCAGCACATCTGTTTACATTGTGATGGCTGTATCTTGGCAACTGAAAGAGACAGAAACTTAATTTTTTTTAAATGAAAGCTATTGGCAGATATTGTAGAATTCAGCAAAAATCCGGACAACTCTAAAAAATAAGGCACGTAATTTTAGTTCCCACCATTTTCTTCTGTCCCTAATACTATATTATTGTGAATGTCTGGAAATGTATCTGAAATGTAAGCACTCAGAGTTAAAGATGAAATTGGGTCACAACTTTAACTCAGTAGCATGCAGTTTCTGTAGAAGTGGACTGTACGTTTGTTAGCCTTGCCCATTAAAACATAGAAGAATAAGAATTTAAAAGGCAGCGAATCTGCTTAATCCCATTTCAAAACGTATCAGCATGGTTTCAACTTTATATCCAGTGTCCCCTAACAATATGATCTTTATTCCCACACAATACTTACTCATGAAACCATGTGAGAAACTGAATCCAGAGCACCTGCTGAGGAGCAGCAGATGAAACTCACAGAATATAAAACATTGTACTAGAGTAAGGTTGCCACACTGATACCTCACCCCAAACTAGGATTTGGGGTTTTTTCATTCAGCTAGGTTTTTCTTTCACCCTTTTGCAGGCAGAAGGAAGTGGCACAGGAGGAGAAGGGCATGGGATATCAACACTTGCACAGAATAATATTTGATTATTAAATCACGATTATAAACCGATTATCAGCTGATGGCCTCAGCTGTGGCCAGTCCCAACATGTGGCAGAAGGTCACCTGGTAGACAGAGTACTGTCAGAGAGGTACAAGACAAATTATTTCTATAAATCCTCACTTGAAAAGTAATGGAAGATTGGAAAATGGAAGGAAACATATCTTATTACTCCTGCAAATTCACCCCAAACAACGTTTCTCAAGCACTTTCAACACAGACTTCATACTTCTCACTACCTTCAGCATTGCTTAGCACCTCTTCCCTTGCCATCCCCCTGCCCTTACACAAGCAGTGACACAGCTGCGTACACGGAGAATCAGCATTAAAAAGGCATGCCTTTATGATTGTGGTGCCCATGAACAGAACTTGAATACAAAGCAGCAGAGCCAGCGTACTCCATAGCTCCAATCAGCAGAACACCCTAACCATCACTGCATTGACACTATAATACAACACACTGCATTTCAGTGCTGGAGTACTTCATTTTTTGGACCAGACATTACTATCAGGTTCAAAAGTTTTTGAGGACCAGACTTTCCCCTTATCAAACCTTCTCATGGTAACACAACAAAGGTGGTTTTTCCATGCCTTTGGCAAGCCACCGACTGCAGGCTGGTAACTGCTCGTCACGCTCTATGTGCGAGGCATTAAGGAAGCTGGAGTTGTTTCACTGTCCCTGCTTCTCACATGCAAAGTTGCAGAGGGCTCTGTTAGCTTGCCTTCTGAATAGTTGACTTAGTATCATGTATGTCCAAACAGAGTGGAGGAGCAGCGAGAAAAGACCTGGATTAAACGCTCATCGCAAGAGTAAGACCTTCAAACCTGAGACCTTAAAAGGAAACTGGTGGAAGAGAGAGACAACTGTTTAACTTCATATTTCTCAAGACAGATTTTTGATATCTAAACCAAGAACTAAAGGGCAGGCTGAGAAGGCTGTTGGTATCCTTCACAGTTGTTTAGCAATTACGAAAGAGAACAATGCAAGAGACCCGACAAAATCCATCCAACTGCACTTATTGTTACGGAAATGTCCCCTAGAGAGTTTGGTCCTTCTCTGTGGAGCAATCTCAGGCTTGCTTGGAAGGGTAACACTCACCACCTACTGCTGATGTTCTCCTGGGATTTGCTGAGTGATGTTGAGGAACTAGCCCCCCTCGAGTCTGGTGGGCTGATGTCCTCTACATGAGGCAGGGAGGGATGAGAAGGGGAGAAGCCACTTTGTGGGGAGGATGGGGTTCGTACTACGGAGCCCGGCAGGCTGTTGCCATCTGTGTCAGTCACAGAACTGCTGCTGCCCTGTCGGGTAGGAGTCCCTGTACATCGCATTGAATCGCCTCCCTCCTTGGCTTCTTGTTTCCGCTTGCGATATTCTAGTAGAGATACCTGGGAGAGAAAAATACAGCCATGAGTCAGGGAACGCAGTGGACTAGGATAGGGGGAGGAACATGCCCACACACCATTTTTAAAATCTATTTCTCTGGGTTTGCAGATAAAACTTTAAAAGGTATATTGGGATTATAAAATCTTCCTGAACCTGCAGGCATTCTGCAAAAAGAGCTAAGTGGTACAAATTTGGATCAGACTGCCATACTCTTTACTCTTTACAACTAATACGTCAGTGAAAATATCTGGCTAGTTTCTAACAATCTGGAATTTCACGTTACTTCAGTATATGCTTGCATGTTCAAGCATCAAGCCTCTACATCCTACTCTCAACACCCTTCACTCCCCTCTCTCTGGTTTGGGACATCATATAAAATGGGTATCAGTGTCTGTACATCTCAATGCCAGAGATTAAGAGCCTCCTTCACAGAACAGGTATCTTCTGAGAGTCCTGTTCACCTGTACTAGTCAGCCACATGAATGCTAAAAAACTTGGTAAAGCCTCACACAGAATTTTAACCTGTTTAGAGCAGGTTCCTCCTATGGCGGGTCAGCACCCAGCATTGCAACCTTCCAGCACTATCACTTAAATAAATTACTTTTAGCAAAGGTATAATGTATTTTGTGCAAAGCACTCTCAGATTTATCAAAGGCACAGGCCAAAAGGTCTCAGATAATGAACGTGGTCTTGTAACACAAGGACAGCAGAACCAAAAATACACAAGTATTTCCAGCTGAGCACTTACCTTTTACTGTGCCTTCCCTTAGTTATTATGAGGCATGGACCCCATTAAGTACTTGCAGAAGGCAGCTCTGCTGAAGAATTGACAAACTATGATTCAATGCCTGCATAGAAGGCTTTGAACAAGGTATTTCTATAAGTAACTCAACATGAAAGTTTTAAGATAAGTGTAACTTTAAAAGAAAACCAAAGGAAAAAATCAAAACCCTCCAGAAATGGAACAGAAATAAGATATTGCATCCAGCTGGACACCTATACAAGTGATCTGAGTTACCACACTTGCAGTAAAAAACCCCATAAAATCCAAGTACAGGAAAAGGCACCGATACACATCTACACAAGCCTATGTTTATTTGTCCCATGAGTACCAAGTTTTATCATAGCAATGCCCAATTTGTCATTTTCACTCAGTTTTAGTCCCATAAGGGTGACTGGCCTTCTATTAGAAGCCAAGACACATTTGCTTTCTTTAAACCATATTCCTATGGTTTCAGTTTCAAAGAGCTAAAATTTAAGCAACAACCTTCATCTACTTGTCTTGCAATGTTACTATGCTTCTTTATTATGGAAATATTCTAAAACCTTCTAATAAACAGCCTGTGTTTTCTTTTGAAATGTTAGACCCTCTTTCCTAGTAAGGACCCCTTTCACTCTGATAAATAACACCTCCACCTACTACTACAGTTACACTGTGTTATGGCTCTGGTCTTGTCTCAATTTAACAACTGTTTATGAAAGCTGCAAGCATCATGCTCTCCTTTCTGTGCTCCCAGAAGAGGTATTTTCATTATGGTATTTTTCTTCCACCTCTTGCATCAAAATCTTGCCTACGGAGTAGCTGGCTCTCTTTTAACAACTTTTAGACTGTTTTCATCCAGGCACTGGATGCCTGGGTTACTTGCCCAGCCTACATTGTAGTTATATTCTGCTCTCTTCATTCTCCCTGTAAGTCCTTCCCATGGTACCAACTGTTCCTGCAATATTAAGAGTTTCTTTTTTACAACAATACTTACCTTCTTCCTTTGTGGTGGATTCTGGGGAGCAGATCTGACGCCTTCACAAGCCCTCTCGCCGCAGGGAGACATGGATCCATGCACCGTCTCTTTAAGCAGCCCTGACTCGTGTCTGCTGAAATATCCTTCGGCAGGAGAGCTGCAGCATCCTGCTTCCGAATTCATTGGCTTCCTCTCTCCCAAAGGAGCAGATCCCCGCAACAACCCATCTACACGTGGCATAGCGTTCAATGGGGAGAAGGCATACATTAAATTAAACTCTGTCCGAAAAGCCTGATCAGAGCTTCGTAGCAGCATCTGTGCTTCCCCACTTTTCCCTGGGAAGTTCATCTCTGAAGTAGAGTTTATGGAGGGTTGTGGAGCCAGATCAGAGGATCCAAAGGTGAGCAGCGATGGTCGTTCTGGGCAGGTGTTTGCACCGGAATCCAGGTACCCACCCTTCAAATCCAGGTCGGACCGGAGGCAGACCTGGAAAATCCAGGAAGGATATAGGAAGGGGGTGGGAAGTCACAAAAAGAGTCAGGCAAGGGTGGGGAGAGAAACTTAAGTCAGAAAGTACCCTGTACAATGCTAGCTTACTGCTTTCCAATTCTTTCTGGTTACCCTTTTGGTCCCTTCCTGCACTCTTCTGTTCATTTTACAGGGGAATGACTGAGACTAAACAACCACTTTTGCTGTCCAGTATGAGATGCCCTTTCCCCCTAAGCAGTCTTACTGCAGCAAGAGGATAAGGTTCAGCACTATCACTGGGCAGTAAATGAAGAAAAACCAGCGCTTTCAATTGCCTCATATGCCCCAAAGTTGATATTAACACATAGTACTAGCTAGGTTCATTATGGGAAGAGAACACAAAAAATTTGCTGTCCATTTGTTGTTTTATTAGCAAAGTTCTTGACTGTCCCAAGTCAGTCACCACTAACTTCCTAACAATAAAATACCCAGAATCTCCAAGCCATTTGTTTTCACTTACTGTCAGCTTCAGCAATCTCTAACAATAGTACATTCATTTAATTTATACCGCATTTCTACATTTTACATTCTCTAACAAAACCATAATGGCATCATCTTTGCGCTGTCAGTTTCTGGAGCACTAGGCACTGACACAATGGTATATCCATTTTTCTACTTTAAGTGCCAAAAAACCTCCAGGGCAATGGCATAATCATCTCCTTCACCATGATACTATGTCAGGATCTCAGACAATGAGCATAACTGACACGATTTCATCCTCTTTGCTGGACTAGAGTGCTTAGGGAAAAACAGAGCAGCACCAGGCACCAGCTCGGCCCTACTGCTGCTGCTGAGTGCGTTTCCTCTGCTGTATTACAGCTCCAAGTAACCTGCCACATTGGAGATAAGTGGTATTTTCTACTATGAAACAGTCTCTGAGCAAGGTACTTCACCTCCTATTTTACAGCAGGCCAGTAGGTAAACAAAATACTACTTTCCGGCACCTCCTCAACATTTTAAGTCTGCAATTGAAGAGGTGATAAATCAAGGCTGAAGAGAGCAGGTCAGGTACACCACTGCGTCCTCGTAAGTCAAAACTCCTACTGAATGCTTTCCCTCTTCTTCCCCAGTAGTCATTTTGCTGCTACTGAGTAAATATCGCACACCACTTATCTGCTGTGCCGGGCTGAAGTTGATTAAGGTTTCTCCAGGGTCCCCAGACCTCTTGCCTTCACCTCAGTAGCTGAGACATACCAGGTCTTCACACTGCCTGTTTCCCCCCAGTTTCAACAAATGAATAATAAACTCCAGTCTTCAATCTGTTTGCTCTCCTGTGATAACCCTGAAAAACTCTCCTCAGCCGTACTGTGACTGATGCTCCACCCTTATTCCCACCCACCTCCACACTTCTCATCCCCACCCTCCCACCACAGCCTTAAACGCGCACGCAAGCACGCACGCTCCCGGCATCAAATGCAACGGAGATGGTGTGATAACTACCTCGGGTGACATGGACTCAGGCCTATGCGCAGGCGAACTCTCAGGGGAGGATACGTTCTAGAGGAGGGAAAAGCATCTTGTTATTCATCTACTTAAAAAGTCAAGAAGCAAAGTAAAAATCAATTAAAAAACAAGCACAGAGGTTAGCAATGGCGATTGTAAACAAAGACCATCCCAGGAACTAGCCCCACCCTGGACGGCAACTCCGTCAGTTAAGTAGTTCCTGAAGTTCCTGGAAGCACAGAGATAGGACTGGGTTACTATGCTTCAGGCTACAACTTAGAACCCAAACCAGCGTGCATAAATGTTACGAAAAGAAGTGCCTTGTTCTTTATATTTCTGATGCTGTCAGTACAGAGTTTGCACCATGAGATGTACAGAAAGCCATTTATGGTGTTTCGTATGAGGACATGGGAGAAATGGAAAGCCCGATTTTGCCCAAAAGGCAACTAAGATCCCTCAAACACTATAGTGAGCTTTCATAGACTTTATACTAGAAAACAAACAAAAAAATCTTTCCGTTCTCTTCCTACAGTGCCACAGGACTGAGGTATAAAGCTTTATACATGGTGAGATGTATTCACTCAAGTTAGAATTGATGATAACTAAATGAAACAGATATGACACTATAATAGAGAGGTTATGAATAAGCTGCACTGAAGGAAATACAAAAGTTTCAACAAAGAATCCTATGGTCTACCAAGCTGTTAAGACTTCTTTGCTAGACAGAAAAAAACATATATAAGGGCCAAGTAAGCTATAGATGCCCAGTGAAATCCAGGTTTTCCACGTCTTGCACACAGCATCAGAAATAACTAACACTAAGGTGGGACAGGAAATCGGTGACCAGACATGGCAACACTGCCCTGATCTGCCATCTCAACCAGAGCAAAGGTAAGGCTCATTTCCAATCAAGCTCTGTGCCTGAAACAGTCTTTCATCTCTCTCAACGCTCCACAATCTTCCCTGCTAACCTCTACAGATCTGTGTCTCAGCTTACAAGAAAGGGCTCTCAAAGAAAACAATCAAAAGCACACTAAGTTAAAAATACCACAAAGGACTGTTTGCCCTGTTGCAAAACAGATGAGGGATTCCTGCAAAACAGTCCCTAGTACAGAGAAGTCTGTCACTGCATAAAACTGTTTTTTTAATGTTTTTAACTGGCAGAGTGTGAGCAGCAGGCCTGAAAAGTTCAATTTTTAAATTAAAATACGCAATACTAGAAAATAAAACTGCAAATGGCGTGATCCCTATTCACAGGCACAGAGCAGCAACACAAAGTGGAAGTGGAAAGTCCTAGCTGGATGGATGCTGGTAACTTTCCCACAGAGTTTAGAGCAAAGCCAACCACCTACACAGCCTGCTCAGTACTTCTGCAAAGTTTTGCAAAAGGAAACTATCATGAAATCAAAGATATAAGGTATTTTCCTTCTACTCAATCAAGGGAATGGAAAACCAAAGGATATAGTGGAGGCTGATGTAAAGTATTTCTACCATACTTGGAGTTACTGAAAGCTGTTTAGGGAAAGTGGAGCTGAAGAGGTCAGAGAGCCTTTGAGAAGTGGAGCACCACTGCACACTTTGGAAGAGGGCAGGACTGGAAGCCACATTGGCACTGAGATCTGAAGTGAGGAAGATGACTAAAGAACACTGAAAAGCCTACAGAATTTGGGAGCTACTGTGGAGAAACGGAGAAAAAAATTAGATGAATGTTACTGATAGTGAGGGGAGGCTGGGCTGCAGCAAGGTTTGGCATTTAATAGAGCAGGAGATTTGGCCAGAAATGGGAGTAGAGGAGAAAGGCAGCAGTGCTCCTGAGTCTGACACTACGACACTGCTCAGGAATATGGCCATGTACTCAAAAAGGAAGGTGTCCCTACTGCTACCTCTGCTGCAAATATTCCAGTTCCTCTCTTTTTAACATTCCCAGTCCCTGGTCAGATTTACCTCAAACTGTAGTGGAGTATTGCAGCGACTAGCAGCCAGAGAAGGAATCGGTGAGAACATCATGCCATAACCGTTGCGACTCTCCTCCTCTCCTGGCAGCGATGAGCAGGGCGTAGTCAGCTGGGGGCTCACTGAGCCAGGAACTGAAGGGATGGCAGGTGGAGGGGTGACAGGAGACAGCGGCCTCAGCAACTTCTTAACATTCTGCTCCATCAAGTAGCGAGACTTCCATTTCTTCAGGGGACTCAGCAAGTCTGAAAAACAAACTGAGCTGAGGACAGGGCCGAACCACTAACCTTAACCACGTGCAAATCACATGCTGTCTCCTTTCCCCTCCTCCCAGCCCAAATAGAGCCCATGAGTCTCCAATGTGACTACAAAAGATTCCTAAAAATGAAGTACCTCTGAAGTACTTCTATACCAGTCTTGAGACATGTCTAGATACTGATAACAGAACAATACGTAATCAGGAACATACGGTGAACAAGGAAAGGAAATATTTCAACTAGAAGTAAGCACAAGAGGGAGCTAGGGGAAAGGAAGACAGGAAGGGATAAAATTGGAGAGGAGAGTGGGGGAGAGGGGTCAGAGGACATGTCCCTGTCACTGCTACGAACAAACCACAGGCAGCTCAGTTATCATTACCTGAACCTAATAGTTCCCTAGAGACTACATCAATACAGCCCAAACACATTTCACTCCCACAAAGGATTAATGCCTTTCCCTCAGGCCTACCCCTATTTGAGTTAATATCTTTTTTTGATGCTCAGGTTTTTAAAAAAAAAAGTATTTGGTAAATTCTGCGGTTCAGTTGTTTGCTTCTTCAGGTCTTGCTCAGGGACGTGCATTCTGTTCATTTCCTATTCATCTGATTTTTCAATAATCAATTCTGTATTATTTTTGTGTTGTCTAGCTTCCTGTCTGTCGTCCTTGGAAAACTGATCCCTGACTGGACAGATCTTCACCCTCTTTCTCTGTAGAAAGATTCACACACAATATTTAACCATTCTGCTGCTGTACTCACAGATTTTAGCTTCTCCATCTTTGAGACTTACTTAATCATTCGCTTATTACATACGCGCCTGTGAGACTTTGCTATATCTTCCTATAGTCAGCAGATATTTAGTTGTCCATTTAACAGCATCCTAAAAAAAATATTGTACTCTTTTTTTTTTTTTCTTTCCCCCCCTCTATTGGACAAATGATCACACGGCACTGAGGTTGATGATGCAAGATAAAGTGATTATATTTTCACAGGAAAATACTGAGAAACTTTACACATGCTCAAGCTAGAAGGGGTCTGCAGAAATTTGAATGAATGGCAAAGTAACATTCTCACCTGCCATAAAGCTGTGCCATCAAGCAGCAGTACACACTAAGATGTCATCCTGTGCAGCTGCCTTTGTTATTCAGCAGCTTCCCCAGTTTAACTCAAGCGCCCACGCTGCCCTGATGGTGCTGAGCACTTACCTGTGTCATCTTTGCAGATGCTGGAAGAACTGCTGTTCTCGTTACTTTGGTATAGACATTGGGTTCTGTTCTCTTGTGGAGCTGGTGAGGTCTGAGTCATCCCCTCTTCCAGGGCTTGTTTGATCCAGCGCTGAAACAGAACGAGACTACATAAACGTGCAACCCCTCTGGTACTTTCCATGTAATCTTGCAGGATGTACTCAAACTCCTACACTTCTGTGCAGCAGGGCAGACTGCTCAGAACACTGGTATTACCTCCTTCGCATGCGCTCAGACAGGAACCCGTTAGAACACAGCTCTTAGCGCTGAGTCTAACACCTACTGTGATGGGGCTGACTATGTGCTCTTGATGAGATGTATTCTGGGGATCAGCAGTCTTCAGCAATAACACAAAGATAAGTAGAGAGTAAATTATAAATAGATAAAATGCAAAACTCTGGAAGCTAAAAACTATTAAAAGCAATCTTAATTAAAAGAAAAGGGAGAAAGCATGATGAACTATCTTAAACCCTTTTTTTGCAAAGAAGCCATTTCCTGCCCAGGAACACAAACACTGTCCCCCTGCTTCACTAAGGCATATTAGAGAAAAAAAACCCTCATAAAATGCATGCAGCAGTTTTCAAGGGGGCTAAACCAAGAAGAGAATAGTAAAGGCAAATCTTTTCTTCAGCTACTAATAAAAGAGATAAAAGTCACAGTGGTCTTCTGAACACAGACAATAAAGAATGTGTCATATTTCATGCAAGTGAACATGAACGGAAGTCTCAGCAAACCAGCTGCTGCAGTGGGTGTGCTAGCCCTGTATCTTGATACAAACTGACTCCTGATGGCAGGCAGGAAACCTTTGCTTACTTTACTATAAAAAAACCCCAAACAAACCTGCCACAATATACAGGAAAACACCCAGGTGATTCAGCAAACTGCTGAAAAAAACCCCAAACTGTAATGTGCATTTGTGTACTTTACCCAAGGGATTCACTTTTCCAGCCTTTTTTCTCCCAGAGAGGTTTAAAAATCGTAAGTTTACCTTTTAGTAACCCACAGTTCATCTGCATTTCAGCAATATGTATCCTATTTGAGATACATGCACATCTCTCATGATTCCTCAAAGCTATCATGAAAGAGCATCAGAAACTCAGTAGCCACAATCCCCAAAGCGAAAACTTCAATATGAGGATGAAGAGCAGGTGACAGGATCTATTTTGATGGCCTTCACTACTGTACAGCAGATGCTTCTTCTCTGTTCAAATATATCTCAGTGGATTCCACTGCGGCCACCAGGAAAAGTGAGAAGAGCCAGCCAGTCTGGAGCACTGCTACCTCAAATGCAGCATCTGATCTGACAGCCAAGCCACTGTACAACGTGTGATTAACGTGAGCAGGTTATACAGTTCAGTTTCCTTGCGAGGTTCAGACATTGGCACGCTTTGTATGCAAACTGAGATCATCAGCTGAGATTTTTTGGCACAGTCCTCAGCAGCTTAAGGAAGAGGCCTGCTGACAATCAAAGAAAATATGTGATCTATTTCAGCAGCCTTTATAAATCAACCTTTCTGCCTGAGCAGTCAGAAGCAGACAAGGCAGAAAGATCAGGTCTTGAGAGAGCTGATCATCCAGTTCTGGACCATTTCGAGACCTCAGCTGGCTGAAAAGGTCTCCCCTGTGAGTTTTCTAAACGTTCCTGAACACAAGAAGCAGACTTTTTCTACACGTCCAGACTGTTAGTTACAAAAACAAATGCTAGCAAGCATTTTCCATGAAAAAGCTGAGGAACTCATACAAAGTGAATGAAAACTCTTACTAGAACAGTTATTGATTATTTACTTTCAAAAAGCAGAAACCTAACAAATTACTTTCAGCAACATCTGTTCTGGACACAGAAGCTTCCAGTATTTTATTTATTATTTAGATAATGAACAGGCAGTGTACTTAAGTTTTCAGATGATGCCAACCTGGGAGAAACAAGAACATGCTAGAAGACAGTATTCAAGATTTTCCTACTAAATTAGGAAATAGATGGGGAGAAACAGGACACAGCACAGGCTAGAACAAAGTACCATATAAAGCCAGAAACAATCACTTCTAAAATTACAGGCTAGAAAACTAACGGGTTGTTCTAACAAGCATAGTAAATCATGAACTGAACACAAGTCTAATTCAACCTGTCAAAGAAAACTCAGTTGTTATGCTGGGATACACAAAATTGGTATAGGCTACAAGACACAGAGCAGCTTTCTGCATTGAAAATGCCTCAGCTGCAACACAACATCCAGTTTTGGACACTCAGCTTCAGGGAAGATGTGGACTAATTAGAAGTCATCCATAGCGAGACTAGTCCATTCCCTCTCCAGCAGTAAGAATTATCATATGACTAGAGAACAGCCAAAGGTAGCAAGAGATTGGAAGACTTGTTCCATGACAAGTTTTCACTGAATTGTGAGCTTGCTGGCTAGTTGTACAGCAAGTGCACCAAGCACAGAACTTGGGATAACTCTGCCAGTTCTGCTCCGGATGCTTCTCTCTTCTCCACGGCTCAAAGACTCTGTTAAAGGGTTCAAAAAAGCAGCTCGAACATTGCAGTTCTCAACTTAAAGGTGCAAGGGGAGATTGCCCAGGCACATGGAAAATACCATGGTTTTCTTCACACGAGCATGTATGAACCATCAGGAACTTTACCTATGAAGGAAGTACCCAAGAGAGACCTTAGCTTCTTTTTGTAGGTGCCTGTTACTGCACAACAACAAATTGGCTGAAGGTGGAAACAGTAAAGTTCAAACTTTCTCTCCGGAAAAACTCCCTCAAAGGCAAAGAAACGAGGACATGATACCTGACTTTGAAAGCTACCGAGACTGGAAGATTAGAAAGGATTTCCATAAAATAGTTCTCAGGTAATCACACAGGAACTGGAAGAGCCCCTGAGCAAAGCTGACAGGTGATAGGCAAGATGGATTCTGATAGAAATCTGACTGAGTAAACTAATCTGAGCTACCGTTTCCCTGCGGGTGGGTAAATGCTAGTGTTTATTGGCCACATACCATCTCTAGAGGAATGAAGTCCTCGGCTGCGCTCAGTTCAGCCTTACTGCATGGCCACAAGTATCTGTTGTAGATAGACAGCCTATGATGCCAAACAAAGAGCTGTGGGCTTGCTCTTGTGAACAGGCAGACTCAAAGCTTTGCTAAACAACAAAGGATCTCCAAAGACAATGGATCTTGACTGAGGCGCTGTATTCTTGAGGTCTTTTGCAACACTGTCCTATCCCCACAATGCCAACCATGCTCTGACTGTGAAAGCAGTAACATAAAACATTCTAAGGGCAACAATTAAAACTCCTTGAATCATATCTGCTGGATAATAAACAGCGACTGCAGATTTGAAAGTACATGTTTCTAACAAGAGAGTGACAGAACAGTTCTACCACGGTAAAAGGCAAGGATGAAGACTGAGCTCTGGCTAGGAGAGGGTCCAGCAGTCATAGTCTGGAAACTGCATCAATGTGCCAGGCAAGGTCAGCTCAGCATAAATACATGGAAACAGGCTCAAAGAGGACACGACAACTTTACAAGGGTACCAGTAAGAGCCTGATGAGTATATAGCCCTGAAGTTAAGACGTGAGCAAACATACCTTTTTACAGGAGCTGTAAATTCCATCCAACAGGAAGGGCCTTCGACGTCTCTCAGGGTTGAAAGGTGAACCAAAACGAATGTAGTGTTTAGGTGTGGTACAAATTAGCGGGGAGTGGATGAGACCTGGCAACATATTTAGGGTAGTTGCCAAAACTGTTGGGTCTGTAGTAATGCGCAGAGGGCATTCAATAGGGCACTCCTGCTTTTCTGCCTTGTCATTCAGCCATTCGGTAACAAGATACTGAAGGAGAAAAATGCACGTGTCAATGCAACCAGCATAGGCGAAGATGAAAGGCAATATGGCACAAAGCTGTATGGGGAAGCAATACTGATGTCAGCCTGCACGCTAAAACCTCCCTCCTCAACAGGAGGAAACACAGCCAGGATTTCCTGTGTCAAACCCAATTCTCATCTGTTGCAGACACAACAACAGGTAATCCAGTTTTACAGAATTAGCTTGATTTTATGCTCCATTAATCTTACTAGAAGGTTCTCCCAAAACTTGATCACCTTGTTCAAAACTAGTTTCTAGCTGCAAGCCTAAATGTATTAATGGCTGATTTATGCCCAGTATGTGCCAGCTGCCTGCTAGCTTCTGCAATTTTTCCTTCCTTTCCCTTACAAGTTTCTCCCAGCTTGTACATTGTAGTCCATAGTCACATTCTCTCTTGGTCTTCAATTCTAAGCTGAAAGCTAAACATCATCTACTTCATCCTAAACAAATACCCCCCAGCCTGCCATCCCACTCTATTCCAAAAAGATACTGCCACTGATTCCCACACCAAACACATTCTTAAAATATAAGGTCATAAAATTCCAACTATTTTGAAGAACTGTTTCCCCTGAGCCAACTTTTCCCCAAAGGCCACACAAATCCTCTTTTCTTCCTCCTCTCCAGTTTGAGTACTTGATCATATTTACCTTTTTAGTTTTGGGGTACTTTACTGCAGCTCGATTAGACTGAGATCCCGCAGCCAGGACAACAGTTGGGTCAGATCCCGTCAACTGTCTGCCTTCTCCTGGACCTTCTACATTGCTGACATCTGTTGCGGTTACCAAGCTGGCAGTGCTTCCTTCCTCTGGGACAGCCTGTGCGAGTTCAGCTTGCTGGGAACTGGCTTGTTTCTGCCTTCGCAGTCTTTGTGCTGAACTGGTCCGGTATCGAGAGAAGCGACTTTTTGGTCGGGGCCTGGAGGGTTTTGCTGGAGGTGGCTTAGTAACTGTTTTTTCAGGGACAGCATCCTACAACATAAACTGTCATTAGTTCAAGCACCTCTAAGAGTACTCCTTTTCTCTGCATACAGGATCAAGGATTGAGATTTATTTATTGACACTACCTGACTCATAAAATCAGGTTGGACCCTGTTTATGTTGGCTCATAAGATGGCTTTGGGGACTCTGCTAAAACGCTGGTGCTTTATCATTTTGTCTGCTGCGTTCTTAAGGGGTCAACCAGAATATTGGTCTTAAGGGAGAAAGCAGCAGTATGAAACTTGCCACTTGTCTCAAGGTAACTACTCTTACTCCCCATCTGAGCTGATATATACCATTCCATCTGGGCCCTGCCATATAATGGGGAACACATGCATTTGGAGCAGACCAGGCCAAAAAAACACAGAATAAGCAAAAGGATTCCTCAATCACTGCAGCTACACATCCAACTTCTGCTCACATGGTACAGAAAGGGCCCACTTAGGTGAAGGAGCTGGGCTCCTTCAGCCCAAAGAGAACACTTAGGGGGACCTAACAGCAGTCTTCCTAATTCAAACTGAGCCTACCAAGAAGATGCAGTGTTGCGTAATAGGAAGACAAAAGACAGTGTATGTACACTGAAATGAGAGGCTCAGACCGCATACAAAGCAAACTTTTTTCCACCATGAGAACAGTCATGATTGGAAGAGGTTTCCCAGAGGGGCTGTGCAATCCCTGTCCTTGGAGCTACTCAAGACAAGACTGGGAAAAAACCCAGGTGGTCTGGTCTGATCTCAGAGCTGACCCTGCCTGACACAGAATGGATTAGAGACCCTGGCAAGCTCCTCCCAACCTGAATGATCTCATGATCAGATATACTGCATCTGAGCTTGGTATAGGCTAGCAAACAGTCCTATCTTCATCTTACCGCTACTTGTGAAGACCGTCGTGTGTTCACTCCAGTACTGCTGTTACTGTTAGAAACATTTGGAGCAGCAGCACTCAGTGCTGCACTTCCATCTTCAGTTTCAGGAGTCTCTGTTTTTATTTCCTCCAGCTCAGGAGCCTCAGAATTGATGTTGATTTCAGCATCGGTGCTGTTACGGTCTGATGGTTGCTCTCGTCTCCTCTTTCTCTTCTCCAAGTTTTCAAACATGTGCATGATGGCTTCTACTTTCCTGTCTTCTCGGGACTAGAACACAAGAGTAAATTTAAGTCAGCACTGCAAATAGAGAGGAAGAGGCAAGAAGAGATATGGGATGAAACACAAGGAGAACAACTGCCAAATAGCAATGACAAGAGCCAGAAAGGGGACAGAGAGAAGCAGTTCTTTTCAGATATTTGCATTTTTCAACACGGCAAATTTCCCAGAGTAACAACATAATCATGTGTTCATAGAGTAACCAGAAGAACTAGACTTTGTTCTTAAATAGGACCACATAGATACCCCTGAGTTATATTTATAAAATGGCCACAAGGAAATGCATAATTTTGAAGAATTAAAAACCAAAAGAAAGAATAAATAGAGCAAAGAGACAACCTGGAAACAAGTGGAGCTACTGGCTAATGACCATGCGTTAGAAGCAAACGGAAGCCAGAGGCAACAGAAGTGAGTGAATCAGTAATTTACAGCAAGTGGAACACACCACACAAAACTGCCTAAAATGATCCAGATTCATTCCTTCCCTGATGTCAGGAGATCACCCGGCTCAAAAATAAAAGCTCTTGTCTAAGCAGCTTACACAGTGGATAAGAAAAACAGAACAGGAAGAGGATAGAGAGGCAAAACAAAGGTATTTATTAGGTAAACAGAAAGGACAGGAAATCTAATCACCTAGCTGTGTCAGAAATAATTGTTAATTATGTACGTAAGAGACAGTATAATAGTGCTGCAGTGACTGGCAAAAACGAGGCTGAATCAAGTGAATTTTAAAAAGTGGGGTCAAGTGCCTTCTGAGACTTCTCATAGAGGAAAAAGTATCTTGATGCAGACAGCAGTACTCAATCACAGCAGCCTGGCCTTTACAGTGTTTGGTTCAAAAATATTCACTACATACAAAAAAAATTAGAGACTGGGAAAACTATAGATACAGGTATTTACCTGGTGCCAAGTATAGAAAACTGAATCTCATTAAGGGAGATTAACTGGTGAAACATACAGGAACAGGACTTACAGGCTGATGGGAAACACTTCACTTAGTCTTCTTGAACTATTCTGTCCCAGAAAGAGATCCGTTTCCCTGCATTAAAATGAAATCTTCCCTCCAAGCTTAAGGCCAGTCTGATGGAAGACTGCTCTTATTCAAATTCCTATAGAAACTGACTGCTTTATCTTGCCTGTTCTAAAATATCCATGAGATAATCCCAAGGATCTCTCTCTGGATGCCCCTCTGCTCTGCAATTTGCTGCGGCTATCTTAACATTTAAAGCATTCTCAGGAATTTTACACATGGAAGATCGCTGTCTCCAATTAGAGAAAGAAGGGTGATTAAGGTATTTGGTGAACAAAGGAAAGACAGGGAACTCCTAGCTCCGAGACATTTGTTGGCTGGTAGAAAGATGGGAGCACTTTTTCTTCCTCAGGTTTTTTTTTTGGTTGGTTGATTTTGTTTGTGTTTTCTTTTATTAAAAAAAATAAAATCAATAAATCAAGTAAAGCCAGAACAGCTCCATTCGCATGCATAAACTCTTCTAATCCAGGGAGCAATCCCAGGTGCCATAAGAGGCACAAAAAAACCCCAAACCCAAAAACCAAACAGCTTTACTCAGTACAGAAGGAGGCTGAGAAGGGACTGTGTTATTAAAGATCCAAGAGCACTAAGAAATATTTTGATCAAGAAGACTGATTAAGACAACAGTGATTGGGGAGCACACAGAGATTTCCTGATAAAGAATATACCAAATTTTGTTGACTTGTGCCAATAACACTGTTGGTGGTCTACTTTTGCCACTTGATCCTACCCTTTTCCCACGTGGCAACATGTTTACGAACCCATACAGGGAACAGAGATATGTTAACAAAACTAACCCAGCAAAATGGGTCAAGTTTTAACAAGAATCAGGTTCTGGTTCATCATATGGCTCCATAAGTACTTGTACTGGCAGTAACGAAGGGCAGCAGAAACATAAAAGGGTGCAATTACCTTTTTTGAACCTGGTGCTGATTGTCTTGTTAATGGTATGTTTTAGACTATAGAATAGCCTTGAAAGTAAAAGTTAAACCTTTCAGCCAGGACATGAATCTGTCCTGTACCTTCTAATCTGCAGTACTCTAACATAAATCCTGTGATGTGCAGTCAACCTGGTTTTTGGGCTTTTTTTGCTGCTGCTGCTGTTTGGTTTTTTTTTTTTAAATCAAATTACTGGAGATCACTGACAGTTGGAATTTGTCTTGAAACAAGTGAAATAACCAACTGGACCTGTTGGCCACTGCATGAAGCAAGTCCTAAGGGGGATGATTCCTAGATTCAGAGAGGTACTTGCCCGTCGGTTGTGCACCAAGGCTCCCTGTTCATCTACAGGCTCCTCCTTCTCCCCTTCTTGTTTCTCCTCCTTCTCTGTCACCTGAAAGAGAAGTCCAGACTTAGTATGTCAAACAAAATCTGGTATTGTTTTAAGATTATCAAGATTCCCTTCACAATCTAAGGTGCTAAAGGTTTAAAAAAGGGCTCCTGCAGTTTCTGTTCTGAAGACCCCAGTGCTGTATTGCAGCAGATCCCACACCACTGAATGATAAAAATAGATATAACAAGGTGTCAAGGGTTTTACCTCATTGTCACTGACTGCTGCAGGTCCCTCAGGAACTTCCTCCGTTTGTTGACTACTGTTCTCATCCGATGCAATGCCCTGCTGTTCCATTTCTAGTTCCTTTCGACGGGCTTTTCGCCGGCGTGTTTCTGCCCCAATCAGTGTGCCTAAAACAGGTGGAGGTAGGTGTTCTGCAGCATTTGGGCTACGTTTCTGCACAGGGCAATTCCGGTTCCCCTTGTGACACGCACAGTCCACTTTATAGTTGCTGCTCCAAAACACAAACATAATTCGTGTCACTCTTCATTTCTCAACCCTTGTACAGAGACATTCAATGCATCTCCTACTAAACATCTCACCACGTGCCAAAGCAAGGACAGCAGGCTACCTTATGGCCTCTATTGGAGAATATGCCAGCAGAACTGGACAGAATAGCCGGAAAATGCAATTCAGTAGAAAACGGAGCAAAATGTAGAATGCGAGGAAAGGGCTGGAGGAAGATGTCCAGTCCAGGAGGGCAGTGGAGAGCTCCTGGGTGAGGTGAAGGACTCACCAGATGTTGTACTCATAGTCAAAGGCGATGGTAACCTCTGTGTCCTTGGCAATGGTGGCAACAGCATAGATACACAGGTGGATCATCCCATCAGCAATCACATGACGAACCTTGTTAAACAAAGTAGACAGAAACTAACATCTCCACAAGTCGCACTTCTTACTTCCAAGAGGGAAGCCTCCTCCTGCAAAGTAGCTCTTATCTATTCCACGAATAATTAGCCTACATTCTCCATAGGGAAAAGACAATGTTCTGTCTCATCCTATACTTTTCTACTTAACACTTATTACCACCTGCTTACCCTAACTATCATTCTGCAGCCAAAGGAAAGACATAATAGAAACCTTTTCCTTCCCAAGGAAAAAATCACGTTCCCAAATTTTCTGGTCTCATCTTCCCAGTATAAACCATCATACAAGCACAAGATGCAGAGAATTTACCCCATTTGCTGCATTCTAATTTGAATATTCATGAAAAGAGAACGCACTAAGCCTGTGTAAAACATTTGCAATTATGGTGATGGTGAAGAAAGAATTTACCTCTGCATTTGGAGTACAGGAACGCCTGATGAACCTGGCATCATTACCAAAGGTGCGGGCATCAACACACATTTCAACGCCATTGAACTTGGAGTAGAACAGCACAAAGGGATATGGCCTGGAGAAGTAACAGAACGTCTCAATCCCAAAATACCCAATTCCCATGGCACTTATAACAGGTATCCCTCACGTCACCGGAAGCAGTGCTTCCGTCAGTGCTATTGCTCTGGAGGCTTATGCACTTCCATCATCACGGTTTAACGGATCTACTGCAGAGGGTTTTAGTCCATAAGCAGAGCATCAAGCTGAGGTTGTATATTTGATTTCACATTTCTACAGATGGCACAGCTGACAAGGGCCCCGCCAGTGTGCATATCCCACAGAGACACAAGTCTCTCCGTGCCATGATGCTCTCATACTAATCACTTCATAGTACTCTTACTTTTTGAAGAAATGCCCATTGACCTCGAATTGCTGTCGTAACATAACCTTCCCTCGATACTCAATTATAAGGGTATCTAGTGCCAAGTCTCTTGCTGCCCTCAGGATCTTCCGGTGCTTCTGAACTCGAGTCACCCTTCCCAGCTGCAGCTGTAACAAAAACCAGAGCAAAATATGAGAATTTAAACCAAAGGCGTCTAACTCATGAAGAATATTTTACCTACATGAATAGAAAAATTAGTCCAGTAGCAACACACAGAAACTCCGCCAGGTGAATATATTGGTTATTCTGTAATAGTTTAGTAATGACCAATGACCTTGATAATATTTATCAAAAGCAAAAAGTATTTATTCCTTTCCTTCAACAGTAAGTCTCACAAATCCATCAGACCAAGTATTTGAGTCTTGCAGCTAGGAGGCATAACCAGACCTGTCAGTTGCTGCTAACGGAGAACTGCTCTGCAATTATGGCCACTTTCACAGCCAGAATAACTCAAATCCTCCCTAAATTGTGGGTTGTCACACGTTAAGAGGAAAAAACACAAGCTTTTCCTTCTGCAGACGATGGTAAATTCCAGCTAACAAGCCAGAGACTTAAGCTGGCAATTTCTATCTCCATCCAGAAACTTCTCTTCATCTGCCTGCTCACCTAGTGCTGTGGATTTTATTTT